AAATGGGTGAGTGTGAGCAGGGAGACATCAGCCAGTGCTTCAGCTGCCCTGGGTCCACTCATCGGTCGGCCTCTGCGTTAGCTGACATCCATTACTGTCATACTGTGATGTTCTGGGGTGGACGTAGCATGTTCTGTATGGCGCTTAAAAATGGATTAATGACGTTAACCCATTAGTGACTAAAATGTTTTTATTAACAACGTCTAACCTGAGATTAGAAGAAATTAGCACAGAGTGTTTAGTCGCATGATTATTGGCGGGGAAAAAAAATTGTTTTTATTTTTTTCCTACCGCTTCATTTTCCCACTGCTGTCAAATCCTGGAATATTCACACGTAGCTAATATTTAGCTCGATCAAAGTCCAAACCTCACAACATTCCATTCATTTTGACCTGTTTTTTTTTTTACCCATCTTTTGCTTTTCCCTTCGTCTGTTTCAAGCAGAACGCACACCGATCAAAGACAGCGTTGGAATTTTTTGTTGCCTGGTTTTCTGGAAATGCACTTCTGAAGTTTACTTGAAATGAACGGGTGGTGATTGACAGGAACGTACACTCCAGAATTTAAAAAAAAAAAAAAAAAAGTCCTGCTGCCTGATGACGACAGGACAGAACACTGTTGTTGTCTGTGGTGCCTGATGTGGGCCAAAAGGCAACATTCCATTCTGCTCAGTGAGCTCACTTTGATCAGCCAGTACTGACCGCTCCACCTGTCCTTCCTGACCACTCCACCTGTCCTTCCTGACCGCTCCACCTGTCCTTCCTGACCACTCCACCTGTCCTTCCGGACCGCTCCACCTGTCCTTCCTGACCGCTCCACCTGTCCTTCCTGACCACTCCACCTGTCCTTCCTGCCCGCTCCACCTGTCCTTCCTGACCGCTCCACCTGTCCTTCCTGACCACTCCACCTGTCCTTCCGGACCGCTCCACCTGTCCTTCCTGACCACTCCACCTGTCCTTCCTGTTGCAGCCTTTCATTGTTCGTGCCACTAATTGTTCAACTTTCAACAGCCAGTCAGCATGACGTTTCTGTAATGAGTGCATGAGGAACTTTACTGTATCATAGAACTAAAAAAGTGCCAAAACAACAACTAACCAAACATGACCGGTGGACGAGTGGTTGTGTTTTTGTTCTCTCTCTGTTTTGTTTTTTTGTTGTTTTTTTTGTCATTGTCGTCTTCTGTTTCCGATGAGCTTCATGTATTTCCTGGACTAAACTGGGGGGCGAGGGTCATTGGCTGTCACAGATTAATATATTTCACGATGTTTTTTGTATTAAAAAAAATCTTAATTTAATGTCTAAACCAATTAATAATCACTGACTTTTCTCTTTTATGAAAGAGATATAGGGGGCGAAGTTTGTCGTAATTTTTGTCACATTGATGATTTTTAAAGTTGATTTTTTTTATTATTTTTATTATTATTATCATTGTGTTATGACTTTTTTTTTCAATCTATTGTTATAAAGATTTATTTTGAGAATTTTATCTGGTCATTAAAGACAACCCTGACAGAGAAAGGCTGACAGAAGCTGTTTAATGGAAACAAAGCACAAGACAAGACATGACAGGTCTGGTGATTGTCTTTTTTTTTATAGTGAAAAGTTGGAGCAAAATTTACTTTTTTAGAGTAATGTACTTTTAAAAAATTTAATTTGTTTTTTATTACTAAATGTAATCTTTGGGTTTTTAATTTTGCACTTTTGTTTTATTATTGGAATTAGCACAAAACCACACTGATTAAAATATATTTTTGTCTCATCTAAATTTCACCACTAGTGGGCGATCTAGAAAAAAAACATGATTATGATGTTTATTGACAAGATGTGATCTCTTCTCATCAATAAACATAAAAATTAGACCGAAAAATATAATCTGCACCCAAATATTTAATTTTATTTTATATATGTGCACATGTGGCTAAACATAAGGGGCGGTGAACTTGTGAAGACGATGGGAATAAAACTTTGTGCAGATGTCAATGACCTCTGTGTTCAACGTACATCCTTAATAAACGGTGATTAGAATTTGATTTTTTTTTTTTTTATCCCTGACGAAGATCAGACTCTGTCCAGTTTAGATAAATGCGCTCTTCATTTTTCTTGGTTATTTCCTGAACCTTCTGTCCAAGTCTTTCTCTTCCATTTGGGGTATTAACAGACACTTTGACTCGTTAGTTTGCCGACAGCAGTTAAGTTGTATTTATTAGTCTTCATCCATTCATGCCTTTTTTTTTTTTACATGATTTACTTTAAATAATAATTTTGTGCAATAACGACGTTTCATCTGATGTAACAACCCTGTTATGATTAGAGACATGAATGCAAGATAACATTATTTTTTATAAGTCTGTAAAGTGTTAAAGAAAAAAAAAGAAGAAGTATGTACAGCATGTCAGAAGGTAAACTCAGACTGGAGATGAAGTGGTGAAATATTTGGTTTTGAATGACTAGAAATGATACCATGAGAGCAGATGAACAGTACCGACGGCCCAGACTGGTTCTGGGAACTTTCTCTGTGCTGCAGAACGCTGCATGAGGCGTAGCTGCTGTTCCGCACTTCCGCGTTTTGTTGTTCCCTTTTCCTTCGCTGCGGTCCCTGCGTCAGTAACTGACTGTCCAACCGTTCAGCCTTCCTCACTGTACAGTGTACATACTGGAGGCTCTCACTACAGCAAGCACCGAGGGCCAAACCTGACTGATCTGAACCAATCCAGAGCTATTTTATACACAGAGAAATAAAAACAAAAAAGACGTTGTTTTGTATATCAGGGACGAATAAAAGAGATTTTAACAAGTAAATGTGTGTGGGGTTTGGTTCAGTTTTGTGCTGTTTTAAATATTGTTTTGTAAAAAAAATTTTTTTTTATTTGACCAAGTTGGTCCCATTGAGACAACAATACATACAGCAGTACAGTTTACAATAATTACAATAACAATAATAATAATTTAAACCACATAGAACATTGACCTAAACAGTCAAATTAAACACAAGCTGCAGAACTCTTTCTATGGAAATCAGACAGTGGAATTTGTGATTTTATCCGTCCAGAGCAGATGAATCATCTTTATTATTAACAGGAAAATAAACTTTGTCTCTTTCCGTAGGCCTGATAAAACCAGTTACTAGGAGTCCACGTCTCGTATTCATCATTTAAACCATGAATTCAGACATAAAATTTTATGTGGCAGCATAAAAAGAGAGATCATTACCTGTCACAGACGTCTGGTTAGCAAGTGTCCACCTCAGAGTTTCGGAACAATTTTTAAAGCCTCATTAACTGTTACGCCTTTAAAGCTTTTTTATTTTAGTGATCAAGGACGAACGTTGAAAAGTGGAAGCTGAGAAAACACAGACTCCAGAGACACGGGGAATGACACGAGGATGTAATCATAAATAATAATGATTTCGTAATATAAGTCGCACTTATATTTTTTCATCCTTTGGCTGGGCTTAGGTGCAACTTATATATTAAAATATCTAATTTCACATGTTTGTTATTTTCACACTGACAGCCGCTAGAGGGCACTCTAGGCTTGTGTACCAGTCTGCTACTCCTGTAAGTCGCACTTTTTTTTCATCCTTTGGCTGGTGCGACTTATAGTCCGAAAAATACACTGCTTCAGATAAATCCATTAAAACACATATTTCAGGTACCAGGTAACTTAAAATACCCCTCCTAGTGGGTTGGAGAGGCAGTGCACACTCGGTGTGTTCTCCCCCACTCACTGTTATGACTGTGAGGTTACAATAAGGCACAAGGTTGTTATAATAATCAAGCTCACAGAAGAGTCTGGCCGTCTCCTATAGTCAGGACAATTAGGACGCAGCATGTCCTTCAATGCATCAGCAGTGAATTAGGACGCACACGTGAAGAAAGGCGAGAGCCTGAGGCCTTTCTTCTCCCCTGAAAGGAGTGACTTTGTTCTGCTCTGAAAATAGGTCTGAGTGAAACAACAGTTCAGTCGTGATGTCTGAGAAATGAAGAAACTGCAGCTGGAATGATGTGATGGTCAAGTCGTCTGAGTTTATTAGGAACAATTCATATTTAACGAAATATTAATTGACAAAACATCACTTATATGAAGCGTTTGCGCTTTTTTTCTTTCACTTTCAAAATGTATCAATTTCATCAGTTCCATAAACGGCCAACTGTAACTCTGTTACAGCAGAAATTCAATGTTGTTGCATCATCATACAGAGGAGTTATTGATTTACTGGTAACTTTTTTCTGTTAGTTTATTTTTTTATTTTTTGAAGGAATATTTTAGAGAAACAGAAAAAACAGACGTTGTGATATTGTAAAATTATTATCATTAAATATGTAATTTATTAATGTCATAATCCAGAGATAGGTTTGTTGTAATTCAATTATACATTCATTCAAATAAATGAATAAATAACGGTTTACATTTTAAAACAGTCAAAGCCAAACTGATCCTTTGTAATAAAAAACAACAACACATTATACATGTAAATCAATTTTTTTTTGTCATTTTGCATTTTCAAAGTAATAACAAAAATCCAGGTTTTCCACTCAAACAATTCCACCTCATTAATTATTCACCTCTGAGTGTGGTTTGAGACTTCACTCCACATCAAAGCTGGGCTTCACTGCGGTACATTTGAACGGCCGGGGGCTCAAACCCCCCCACCGCCGTCATCCGACGAACACTGACCACCAGCGTGCCGTCAGCGTTGAGGGTCCCGCTGACCGACAGAGGGTCCATGTCCTCGGGGAACTGGGACCTGTGGGTGAACGTGTCACTGACGCTGCCGTCGTCCAACACCTGAGGAGACATGAGCTGAGTGTGACCAACAGGGGGCAGGGGCAGGAAGTGTGTTCATTTTCTACACAGGAAGATCAGTGAACACAGCAGGAAATCAGAGAGCGTGAAGCACGACAGGTGCTGAGGAGGTGGCCTGGTGTGAACCAGTGAACGAGATCACAGCAGCAGGTCAGTGAGACGAGAAAGAAAGAAAAAAAAGAAAGATGTTCTTCTCTCTCTCAGAGGATGTGCTCCACCTGTTACTGATGACCACAGGAAATGATGTCGACTGATCGGACTGTTCATCAGGTAAACAACAGCTTCTCCACGGTCTACCTGATGTTCACTGGAGTTCACAGGGAGTTTGCTGGTTTCATTTCCTTGAAGTCAGAGTTAGAACGTCAAATGGATATATATATTTTTTTTGTAATCTACTTGACTTTTAATCCAAGTCCTGAGAAAAACATGTTTCCTTAACATTTAAGGAAATTAGATGAGCTGGTAGTTATTACATGGTAACCTGGTAACAGGTTGGCTCGCTTCAAAGTGATAACTTCTTTTTGTTAACATTAATCTGATTAAATCTATTAATCTGGAATTCTGAATAGGGTCGCCTAAGATGTCTAGTAATTTTTTAACTAATTATTTTTCTTTTTTTTAAATTATGTTTAGAAACACTATCCACAATCTTAAATAACTTTCACTTTTGTGAATATTAATCGAGTTCAAATAAAATGCAGCATAAAACAAATGGGAAAAATGTTAAGAACCACTGATCTGTTCACATATTTATGATACATTGATAATTCACAACTCGTTGTGTATTTTAACACATCAAAAGTTTATTTGTAACTCATTTATATTTGGCCACTCCATTAAGGTTTGGTTGTTAGGATTGAATCAGATTACAAACCTCAGTGAGTCAACGTCACAGTCACAGTCATGTGACTGTTTCTTCTGTGTGTACGTGTGTGTGTACGTGTGTGTTCACACATTAACACGTTCTCATACCTTCTGTGCGTGAATGACGACGTGATGGTTGAACGCCGTCACTGCTATGTCGTGCGGTTCAAACTGGCTGACGTTAGCAGATATGTAGTAGCTGTCGCCCAGACAACGCACCCTGCTCCCTGTGCCACTCTGACGACCGGTCACAGCGCCACACGCAGGCACTAAATTCAACATACACACAACACAGGAAGAAGATTTTTATACATTTTTTATACATTTTAAAATATAGGAATAAATTGTAAAATTGTTCTTACCTTTTAAAAAAAACATTTTATCACTTACTGTAAAATGGCCTGTGGTCTAGTATTTTACTATGTGATCTTGTAACACTAAATAACTACAAACTGAGTGTTATATACTGCTTACATACAGTGCTGTAGTTAGGTCATACATTTAGTGAACGTAAACTATAGAGGCTTTGGAGTATTTCCACCAAACAACAATTATTTCACATAAAGTCTGAGTCAAAACCTCTCCATATCGTAGAGAAAATTATCACACAAATAAACTGTGGAAAATAACGACTGAGTTGAACCGTTTCAAAGAGTCTCCAATATATTCAGTCCCAGTGTCACTGCTCAGTTCCTCTGTGTCTCATGTTTTACGTCCAGGCTCTAAATCCAAGGTCATTAAAGGACCTGAGCCACTGTTTGTCTGTGGATGAGTTTTACTGCCGCCGTGATAAATGTCTCTGTTTCACTGAAGAACACAGAATAAAATAAAAAACTGACAGGGATTTTCTTTTCTTTATTCACTGTTGGAATCCATCATTACTATTTATGTCATTTTAATGTATCTATCTATCTATTCATTTAGATAGGTAGCTATCTATCTAGGTTTCCATCCACATGTTTTGGACGGCGAGAGAACGTTCAAACATCATGAAGACGAAGAGGACCAACGAATAGGAGAAGTTCTGATGTTCTGGCTGTAAGATGATCACACTCATGTGGCCCTGGTTAGACGTAATGTTGCATTCACAACACGTGAGTATCGTAAACTGAGATTGTTATAAAAAAAAAAAAGCCCAACACAGCCAATCAGAGACAGGGATTTGACTGAAACCTCAACAAGATGACAACAGACAGGAAACCAAACTCCACCGGGTCGGTCCACTCACCGGTGTGTCCGTATGAGGGTCTGCTGTGTCTGCTGAAGGGGGCCAAGCAGCCGGGTCCTCCAGGGCTGTCCTCTCCAAACAGACTGGAGTTGTCTTCACAGTCCAGGAATGGCTCGAACAGCGGGTCCAGACACTCGGATGATCCGCCCAGCGACCCCTCTGATCGATAGGAGCTGGAGGTGCTGTAACGTGATGAAGACCGGTAGGATGAGGAAGATCTGCGGCTGGATGATGTCATCGATGCCATAGCAGAATAATTCCAGTGTCGGCCTCTACAACTTCTACTACAGAGGTACAGTTACCTAAGGCTTGTTACCTCACAGTCACTGCCCCGGGGGTCTTTGTGGTGGGTTTTTTATAATCTCCTGTTGCATTGTGGGTCAGTAGAACATGGTTCTATAGTATCTGTATTGGGGTCTTTCTTTGTCCATAAATGGCAGTTTCCAACCGTCGCAGCCAAGAATGTAACGGACACACTGATAAGGCGTAGACCCCCCCCCCCCCCCCCCCCCCCAAAACAAGAGGCGTGTGTTGATAAATCAGGTGTGTGCTGCCGCTGGCTGAGCTTACATCAGCCTGAGAGTCTGCTGCTGCCGCTGGTGGGGAGAAGGGGACACGGGCAGGACA